AATTCATGCCACCCTTGAGATGCATCTAATGGATGTGATAACTGCATATCTATATGGTTCTCTTGATGCAAATATTTATATGAAAGTTCCACCTGGTTTAGAAATAAAACTCCAAATAGACCTCTTCCAGGATAATATTGTGGTATTAAATTATGTAAGGCCTTGTATGATTTAAAACAATCCTAACACATGTAGTATCAATGTCTTTGAAATTATTTAATTACACATAAGTTTGTAAGTAATCTACTAATTCCTTCTTTATTTATCAAACGAGATAAAATTGGTTTTGTGATCATCGCTGTATATGTTAATGATCTTAACTTAGTGGGCACTAAATTTGCATGTTTTGTAGCTACTAACCTACTTATACATGAATTTGAGATGAAAATGCTAGGAAAAACAACTTTCTGTATTGGTCTTCAGATTATGCATCTCACAGATGGTAGCATTTTTCTCTACTAACTAACGTATATTAGACAAAATTTGGAGAGACTCAATATGATTGATGTTTATTCATTGTCCTTATCAATGGTTGGATGTGGTCATGATGGTCATGATCCATATCATCCATGCTAGGAGGAGGAGGAAATATTAGGAGATTAATATTCATACCTCATAGCGATTGGAGCACTTTTATATTTGACTACATGTATAAGATCAGATATTACATTTGTAATTAGTGTTCTTGCAAGACATAGTACATGTCCAACATTACGACATTGGAATGGCATCAAACATTTATTATGTTATTTAAAAGGTATTGAAGATTTGGGATTGTACTACACACAATCTGCAGATCCAAAATTACTTAGATATTGTGATGCGGGATATAAATCTGATACCGCAATAGCTAAATCTCAAACAAGATATATATTTTTAAGACATGGAGTTACAATATCATGGAAATTAGTAAAACAAACAATAACTGCAACTTCATCCAACTATGCAAAAATTATTGACTTACATGAAGCATCTCGAGAATGTATTTGGTTGCAATCAATTGATAAATTCATTCAAACAACCTATGGATTTTCATATGATGATTTTCCAACTATCTTGCATGAAGACAATAGTGCTTGTATTGCACAGATGTAAGTTGGTTTTATTAAAGTTGATCTGACAAAGCATATTGATTCAAAGTACTTTAGTAATATCCATGACTTGATTACTAATCAAGCACTTATAATTAAGAAAATTCAATTGCAATTGCTGATGGATTTCTAGGAACAGAGGAAGAGAACAAAGGGAAACCAAGGGAGTCGGCAGGTTGAAAACTCAAAATCCATTCTTCATTGAACTCACAATCATCCATATTCTACCTCTTCATTGAGCCTACAGTGATTCACATTCATATGAATGTTGAAGTTTATTTAGAATCTGCCTCTCAATCCCAATTTTTAACCATCACTCTTTCTTCAAAGAAAACACAACAACACTCAAAGTATGTCATACCTTTGTTTCCAAGAAGAATTTTAGTAACTCAAAAAATTTATTCCTTAATTTTTTCTCAAATATAGATATTTTATAAACAATGATTTATCATTGATTATTATCTTTGTACAAGAAATAAAATATAGATTGGTAAAATTTTAGTTTATTTCATTCTTGTAATAGATATTCAATTTTTACATACTCTTTTAAAATGATTTTAAAATTTTATTAACATATTTTTATATTATAAATTAAAAAAACTCATTTAAATAATTTTTCTATTAAAATATTATTTGGATAGATAAGATTATATAAGTTTATTTTTTAAAAAATTATTTTATAAATTGTAAAATATTTTCTACGAGCACTATGTATTAAAGTATTTTTACAATGAAAACAAATATAAAAACCATAATAATGTAGTCATAAAAACCACCAATAAAATGAATCTTTATTATATAATATTCCTTGCAAGGCTACTTGTTCTGCCACATCCTTGTGCTTCCCTACTTGTACCACCAACTTCCTTTGAGCTCCTCTCCTTGCCTCTCCCTTCCTTCCTCTACTTCCCTCTTCTCTCTCTCTTATGCATTTCTCCCAATACTCCTTTATTGTTGTCATATAGGTCGTTTAATGATTAAAAGGTAGGTATCTTATATATATTTTGCCTATCTTAAGTATACAATTAGATTGATGTTAGTTTTAATTCATGTACTTCTTTGTATTAGTAGAAGACTGGCCATTAGATTAATAATTGGGAAGGTTTGGTGGTGAAAATTACGATAAAGATAGAATAGACAACATGTGGTGGCTTCTCATCTTAGAAACAACTAAGAGACATCTTAGAGAAATCTTGGTGAAATCTTGATAATATTTTTGAGGTATCAAGGTGACTTGAGAAAATGAAGAAAGGCACAAAGGGCACTATTATTATATCTTTTGTTTTGATTAATAAAGAAGGCAGATTTTGGATCGTAGATTGGAGTCTAATGTCATTGATTGGAGTCTTTGATTAGAAGAAGTTTTTGAAATAGTATTTAAGACAAGTTTATCTACTTTTACAAAAAATTTGAGGGCAAAAACTGATTAGGTCAAAAAGAAACAATGTGCCAAAGTAAAGAGGGTCTACCAAAATTTCAAATTAAGGATAGTAACTTTGAGGAGTCAAAACTTGATGTCTATTAGAGCTATGGTTATATAAATTATAATATAATTATATTTTTAAATTAAAAATATAATTAAAAAAATTATATTATTATAACATTTAATTTAAGAGATATGCATAAAAGAATAATTAGATATAAGATTGTGAGGGAAGAATAGTAAACAAAAAGTTAACTTAAGAATTTTTCTTGCTAAATATGATTTGATTTATTAAAAACTTTAAAAATTAGAGCATAAAAAGTAGATAGGTTATATAATATATTGTAAAAGGTTCTAAATAATTTCAATGATTTTATATAGAATTATATAAGTTCAAAGTGAGATAGGTCAAATTAGATGCAAGTGAGGGCTTTGGATGGTAACTTAATACAAATAAGTGCAAAAAAAATGATTGAAAATAAGACATATATAAGCAATAAAGATCACCATAACAATAAGCTTTGTACTTTTTTTGACTAATAATAAACTTCTCAATATCAAATTTCCAATACATCTTATAATAACTAAGATTCAATTGGAAGATCTAACAACTAAGATTTCTTAAGTTAATCAATTGAATAGAGAGGTTTTTGCAACATGCAATGAAAAGGTTCAATAATGTCTTATAAGATAGTAGCCTCAAGGCTTTCTAATCCAAACGGTTGGCTTTGCCATCATGAACCATTAAATTACAATGGCCCTTATATTCAATTATAGAAATTAATCTAATACTTATAATATATATATATATATATATATATATATATATATATATAATGATTAAAAAAATAAAAAAATAAAATTTTAGCTTTATTTTTATGGTTTTTATAATCCAAAAGATAAAACAAAGCTTGAAACACTTAGGCTTAAAGCCTCAAGCCTACACTCAAAAAACAAATAAAGAATACAAATAATATATCTAAATTTAAAGATTCAATATAGACAAGGAATGAAATTTTGTTATTGTATTAATACAAAGTAGCTAAAGAATTAGTTTTGAATAAAGAATGTCATAGAAATAACCTATTAGTAATTACTAAGTGAAAAAGATACTTTGCATGTTTCTTTGATTTTTACAGTGCTAATCCATTCTCCAATATGTTACTTGCTTATGTCCTTCTATTATTTCCTTCCGTTATTTCTACTTCTTATTTTTTAACACATTAATAATTCATAAGTGATTTATGGGATCTTATGGTCTAGATTGTATGAGCCAATCAATTGAGTTGAGAGGTCTTAAGGCCAAGTATTGAGAAGGGTTGGCAATATTAATGGCACCAATACAAATATGGATAGTTAGGATAGAACTAGAGGCATGGAAAGAAAATGATTTAGTAATGCAAGCAACATAAGTGGTATGAAAGGCAATCCAACTTGGCACTCCATTACAAATCTTTACTAGATATAGGCAAGATATCTATTTTTTGGATGGACATTGTTCATCTTTAAAAGATACTAAGTAAAAATCCATTTTATTATGGTTATTAGATATCAAATTAATATAATAAATAAAATATTTTTTAAAGAAAATATGGCATAAATCAATAAGAAATAAAAAATTATCATATATTATATTATTTTATTATTTTTTTTATTATTTTAGAAAAAATATTTTTAATTTTTAAAAGTTGTTATAATGGACTTTAAACCGAATATGATTAATTAAAGTGTTAAATACAATTAAAAAACTTTAAATAAAGATTCGCCTACTACCTTCATAATTTAGTTCATTCAAATTTAAAAGAGAATATTTTAATATTTAATTGTAGTGCTAAAGCTTCATGAATTAGTTACTTTTAGACTAAGAATCATATAATTTAAAGTAGCAAATACACAAAGGTGGCTATTTAAGAGAAAGTAGATCTTGAAGTTAATAGCATATTTAAACGTGACATTACCCTATTTATTTGAATTAATATTCAGGAAATTTTCTTAGCCACTTATATTAAAAGTGATTTCATTTTTTAAATGATAAAAAAAATTGTATATATAAATATATATATATATATATATATATATATATTTGGCCGACACATCTATTAAAAATCAAAACCAAATAAAAATATAATTTAGAAATGTCATTAATTTTAAATTCAAAAATATTTGTGGCAACACTACTAACTTCATCCACTTGCTACATAATTTACCATGACAAAAATCATACGTGAAACTCTGCAACATGGTCACTAATGATGCAATAAAATCATGGCTCTATCTATAGCCCTGTTCTTCTATTGAAAATGGCTGTAGCTGGAGACAAAATATTGAATTAAATCTAATTCAATCACAAACATCACACTTCTTTACCTGGGATGATGAAATTTCACTGCACTACAGAAGCTGAGGACACTGTTGATGGTGATGAAGTCACTGAGGGAAGATAAATTAAAAAAATCCGATTGCAGTTGTGAAATTTCATGGTGTTGTGTACAACCAGCTCGTATGGTTCAAATCAACTATCACCGCCTGTTTGTAAAGGATCACAGAGTCAAGAAGTAGCTCAACTCGGTTTATTACTTATGATTGACACAACTTGTGTTTTTGGGAATGCAGGTTTGTGTTGGGGACTATGCTGTTTTATCACCAATGCGCAACTGCTGCATATGAGCTCAAGGAAGTTTTAAAACCAATGCTTCTAGACCCGAAGGAGGAGGTGCACGAAAAACACTCTTCACAAATCTTTGGATGCCCTGTTCATGCTACATATTAATGTCATAGTCTTGTCAAAATTGTGCATGTGTAACCTCCCACATCAATCTTATTTACGGCACGAATTTGACTCCTCCATCAAGCAACCGATATGCACGATCCAGTCCCTCCTTCAACCACTTCCGAAGAGAAACTTGGAAGTTGGAGTCCATCTCTACAGCTTGTTGTCAACTTCGTCGGGGATCAGAGATGCAACCTGGTGGAGGAATTGTTCGAAGAGCACTTATGACTGCGTATTATGTGCAAAGGAGGCTGAAACTTGGTTTTGTTGTTGGATTCTTCCAGATGTTCCTGCTCAAACTCACACCCGACGCAGGATTCGCGAAGCCTTCCTACTTCGTTGCAGTTGTTCATAGTCGAAGACTAGTGGTTCTCAGCATCCGTGGGTCATTTGAGGCTGCCGATTTGTTGACAGACTTCGTCCCTGACACAGAAGCCTTTCAAGACGGGTGAGTGCTGGTAATGCAGTCAGAGAATGTTACAAGCTGCGTCTTCCACACTTCTGGTTGGATTTGGTCACGTTCGATTTCATGCCTGTGGTTTTGTTATTAATCTGACGTTTGCACAGGATTGCCTGTAAGGGGATGCTCGACTCGGCGAGACATCTTCTGAACAAAGAGGCGTCCTTCCTGAGACACCTGCTCACAGAGCGATTTCCGGTATGCGCGTGAGTGAAGCTGTGCACATGTTCAACTCGGTTGTTTGCACATGCTGTAGTTATCAGTTGTTTGATGTCATATTGAGGTTATGAAAGCTTGGGTTCTCATGTGGGTTCAACAGGGTTACAAACTCCTCCCAAGGGTTATGTATAATCAATGTTTGCATTCAAACTCTATTGGATCACTCCTGTAGCAGTTGTTGTGATGACCTTGCAGATGCCATAGAGTCTGGAACGACTCTAGTATAAGTGTTTAATAAAAATGGAAGAAAAATAGTAACCAATGTGGTGGACATTCTACAATGGCTTAGTCTGGTTTTGGACTTCAAGTAAATTAAACTTAGTCAGTAGCTCTTTGTCAATATAAATAGAAATAAAAATAAACACTATTCATCACAAATAGATTTATAAGTGTAATTGGCATAGAATTAAAAATGTCTTTAAATGATGCATAAAATAATTCTTGTCTAGATTATGAACAAAAGTAAAAGTTTACATCATACTATAATACAAATAATTTTGAGTCTGTTTCCCGCTCCAAAACTCATGAGCAAATCACAGCCGATGATCTCATCAACTCCGTCATCAATTTTCGTGTGCATCAAGATGCGGATAAGAGTGACGTCAAATACTTGGGCAACCTGAAGAAGGAGAACATGCCTCCCGGGGATATTCCTGATTGGGCTTATGGAACGAAGGTGATGCAGATTCGTGAGTACATCCATAAACGAGTGACCGAGAGGGGGGCTTGGCACTCTCATACCTTGACTGATTGGAGTGGCTATTTGGGGATGGTTTGGAAATGTATTACAACTGCTGATTTTGAGCTCAGTTTTAAGTCTCTTGTTGAGTTCTCAGCATACGAAGAACTCACGAGCATTCTGGAGAGTCATCGCCGAGCCGTCACCAAGAAGTATGATGAAGAATTTGAGATCTTCGAGAGGAACCTTCACAACCAATCAGGCATCCTTGAGGACGTCAAAGTGTTGACTAGCATCATGCTTGACAACGTTGAAGAGACCATCAAGAAGCAGACAGTTGAGGTGGGCGTGCTACCAAGTAATCCTCGCTGGCAAAAGTGGAAGATCCAAGAGACTGACCATTGGATAGAGTATCTCCATGAAAGTCGTTTCCATTGGTCAGGGCGTTGTCAAGGTTCAGCTGGGGTCTTGGATTTCGAAAACGTGGTTAGACACTACTATCGAAAGCTCCAACTGAGTATCAAAGCTTTATTCAAGAAAAAAGAGATTGTCATGAACAGAGAGTATCCAGAGCGTTTCCGACAGCAAGTAGACAACCATTTTGAAGATATGTTTCAGAGAATCTTACAGGAAGTTAGGGAGAAGCATACACCTATGGCAGATAAAGTTCCTAAGTGGTTGACGAGTGTTTATGCTAGCTCTGAGATCTCACAGTTGTATAATCTTCAAGCTGATGAAGGGAGCATTTTTCAGGCTGATGTGGGATTCCCTTCTGCTTCATATGCAGGTCCATCGGCAATGAGGAAGGGGGATGCCAGAGGAAGCTCAAGACTTGACCTTCAAGACGAAGGCTTACAAAAGATGGTGGATAGATGTTTGGCGGATGCTATCAAATATTCAAACCACATCGTTGAGGAGGTGATTAGGGAAACCAAGAGCCTACTCTCGGCTCGTGCACAACAAAGTCAATCAGGCTTCTGGGGGACCAAGACCAATCAGCAAGATGCGCATATTCGGGTCAAGCGTTATCTCACGGATCGATTATGTGCCATCCAACAACGCTGGGATGCTGAACATAATGTGGCAAGGAAACTTGAACAAGAGAAGGACAGACTTCGGTGCTTTTTTGTGGACTGTGCAAACGAGGTAGGTGGATCAGAGATGCTAGTACGAGCAATTTTCAATGTGGTAAACCCTGAGAGAAAATCGAGGGAGTCCGGAAACATCATGATAGAAGCTTTCAAACCGATTCTCATCAAAGAATTTGCTGGGACTTTGGAGACACAAGGATGGCTTTCAAACGCCAAGGTATTCAGAGCTCTCCTTGACCTTCACTTACTGAACATTGCGGAAGGCGGGAGCAACAAAGCGGCAGAACTTCTTCAATGGACAGCTAACGGAAGTGAACATTACGAGTTCATAATGAACACTCTTCTGGAGAGAGAATTGATCACATTTTGGGGAAGTCATAGGCCTTGGGAATCCTTTTTGAAGGGGGTGAAGATTGCTTTGAACAATGCAGCAGTGGCTGCTGAATCTGCCTGCGAAAACTCTGGATTGACAAATACCGGGTTCAACATACCTGGGCTGGAGCCTTCTAGGTCCAGAAAAGCGGGGCTGGAACATTCTGGGTTGAAACTCTTCTTAAGCACACTCTGCGATCAGTTGCATTCAAAAGTCTCCAAAGATTTGGCCAGCGCAATATCCTCTCTAAGTGCTGACGTGTATGACTATCGCAATCTTGATTACAATTTCATTCAAACTAGTATCATAACCGCTATGGACGATGCAGCGTTTACGCCGCATCTCAACACTGCGTTTAAGCAAGAGATGATAAAGGGCGTGCGAGACAGACTGGAGGACTGGAGCAAGAGCGGTGCTAAACCAAGGTGCAAGGAGGCATGTCCCAAGTGCCAACTTACATGCTACAAAGCAGCCAAACATTCTGGCCTGCATGACACACTCCACCAACCCAAAGGGCTTGTTGGAATTAGGTTGAAAGCAAAGAAACACAGCGAATTGGATAGCCAGTTGTCTTGCACATCATGTTCCAGAGCTGTTTCTGAGAACGTTAAATGGGAGAAGTCAGAGGGACAACGCTCATTTTGGCGGAGCAAGTGGGCTAAGTACAAAGATTTTACCAAGTACTTCCCAACTTGGGCAACACCGAGCGATGCTCACGGTCAGTGTGCAAGTGTGCGAGAGTACATTTTCTACAACCATCAAGCTGATATTGTGAAGAATTTCCCGGGCTCTAATATCTGTACTCACATCCCACCTGAGTACAATCACGACCCAAAGGAGCTCCGCATAGAGCTTGAGAACATTCTCAAGAATCATATCAAGTTTCAAGACTCTCGAACCTTCATTTGAGATCCATGACAGGCCAGAGCAAATTAAACAACTTAAATGTTGTCTACTTTGTGCTTCCAGCTCTTGCTATTCTAGCAGCATAATATTGAATCTCTCGATAGTCATGTGTATGATATGTTCCAAGTTTGTGCTTATGTGTAAAAAAAATAACGGCAAAGAAACATTTTTCTCTACGCTGGTTGAGATCTTGAATAGATGAAGTTTCTCCTTAGATTAGATTAGAATTGTTGATGACCTTCTACTGCAAAAATATTGTGGAGTTGCATGTTGCATAGTTGAAGTGCTCCAGCTCCTTGGTTGTTGCTAAGTCTTGTGATATAGGCCTTTATATTCTTAGTTCTTATTGCCAATGCTTCGATATTTTTCAAGCCTATATCCAACTTTGACTTGGACGAATTAGTCATGCTAATTTCCTCTTTGATAAAAATATTGTAGATGATCGATCCGTGAGATATTGGCCGTCCATCGATACAATATTATCTCACTGATCGATTATGTGCCATCCCCTTTTATACTATGTTGTAGATAGCTTATTTTGTCCATTTATAAGTAGAAAACCACCTTGATTTATGTTTTTAGGATAGTTTTTCTTAAAATGTTTAACAACTTTTATGAAATTTATCATATATTTATGTTAGATTTTATTAAAAAATTTTAAATTTTGCCTTAAAATATAATCCTAGTAAAGGTAAATTAGAATGGTCCTTTGTTAGTAATAGTAGATTGATAAATTTATGGTTTTGTGCCCTTCTTTTTTTAACTAGACACAATAATAAAAATATATTTTCTAAAATTAAAAAAGACTTGGCAAAATAAGTTCAATGATACTATGGAGGTCTTTTTATAATTAACATATTTAACTTTTAAAAGATCTATTTGCAAAAGGTCTAGGCAAGAAGAAATGACATATAAGTACCCATTTCCAACTATGCATGTGAAATCAAATTTGCAAAAATCTAGATGCAATTGGTTTAAAATGTATAGCTTATTAATATCGACAACTAAAACAGTTTGAGGCACATCATGCAATTAAACTTTATAATTTTATAGTTAGTGCATTTGGACTTTCAAAAATTATGACTTTTTTTTTATAATTCATGATTTTTTATTGCAAATCCATCAAATACAATTCCACTTATAAATTCCACTTGTAAGTGTACTGATTTGCTTAAGCTGTTGAAAATGGATGCTCTAACATTCTATTTAAAGTCTTTTGCCTTTAGCAAACCTTTGGCAAATTGGTGGTAGACAAAATGACACACAAAATATTGCCTTGAGGAAGTTTATTTTGGGTTCGAACTTAAACTTCTTTCAACCCATGACTTGAAGCATTAATTTCTTCTTTTACAATTATGGTTTCAATTTATGCAAAAAAAAAAAAAAAAAAAAAAAAAAAATCTAGTTTCATTTCAAATGATACCAAAAAGAATTTTTATTTTTTAAGATTCCAATATAACTTTAATTTTTTAAAGATATATATATATATATATATATATATATATATTAATTATCTTTAAATTTCTGAAAAATTAAGAAGTTCCAATGATGACCTTCAGACTAGAGCTTGTATAGGCCTTTACATATATAGAATTCCTTTTGTCAATTTTTGAATAGCTATAGGGTGTTTTTCAAGCTAGAGGTGCAATAACAATTCTTTGAGGCAACACTACTATTTTGATTTTTTGACTTAAAAATTCGTGACTATCATCAAATTATAAAGAAATAATTTTTTTTCTTCAAGAAAATCATAATTTTCAAATTTAGGAAGAATTAAAGCTCTTATTTCTTCAAATTTTCTAATATACTTAAAAACAATAAATTTTATTAAAAACACAATAAACATTGAATGAGCAATTTTCAGGGACAAGAACTCGATGAAAGCTAAAGAGTAAGTGAGACTTTTCTCAAAAAGAAATAGGACAAAATAGAAATATGTATATTAAGAAAGAAACTGGAATGGCTATTGCCAAAATACAAGAAAACTAGAGACCCTTGAAACTAGACTAGAAGCAAGAAAGGAGTTGACAAGAGTGAAGAGGGCTTCACTCTT